ACTCCATTATGAATAGTCTGCCACCATACAGCTGAGTGTGACACTAAGCAATAAACCTCGCAATGTGAACATGGTGAACATATTAGAGTTTGGACCAGACAATCCAGTGGTCAAAAGCATGAGCATCAATCTACACAATTGGAATACGATGACATGTGTCGACCAAGTCAGCGAGCCTGACCACCCGATCCCTTAGTCGCCTCTTACATGGGTACTGGGTTATTGAAGTATGGGTTACTGAAGATAAATTCAAACCCGGATCTTTACGGGTCTCCATAAAGATGTAATATTCCATATCAAACTGTATTCAATGACAGTATTCAAACAGAAAAGCTCAGAAGAAATAAAAGTCCATAAAACATATTTGTCTATTCTCAACCTGACAGGTAGATGCCTGGTCCATAACTGGCCACATTTGATCAAAATCAAATAACCAATATTTTTAAGAATAATTTCACAAAGGGGTGGTCATTTATTAATTTGTTACAGGGCTAGATGAGTAAGCAGGAATAGGTGGGTCACCCAAAAACATGAGAGTCTCAAGGTTAGGGTCTTTAACAATAAATAAATCATATTCGGGAGGGTCATGAAAAGAATAGTAATGTGTAATAACATAAGGTGTCTGTGTTTTGTCTTTGGGAGGGTCCTGAAAAACATGTACAAGGACATGCAGACAGCCATCCGAAAATGTGAGAAGCATTTACGGAAGGACCCATTTTCGGTACATCAGAGCATCAAAACACTGTACAGACCTCCCTGTAATAAAAGACTGGTCACTAACATCATGTGACCAATCATATATGGACATAAAACATGACTGCATTAAATGATGATATTTCAATGTCCTTCTTCCACGTTTGTCTTGTTTGCTTTGGAGTATCTTATAAAATATCAATAAACAGATGTTATTCAGTATGGTGAGTAAACATCCCAGACACAGAAATGTGTTTGATATATGGCCGTACAACACAGTAATAACACCCATTCAGAGGCAGCCTGGCAGTATTGCGCAACATTCCCCCTCAGCCTGGTGTACATATTGATGCTGGGTGACGATGATCAAGCCGCTTTTATTCCAGTCTGGGAAAGATCATAGTGACCCTGGGGAAGCAGTTCTGATTCTGAGCAATGTTGTTCTTTCAATATCCCCCAAACACTCCATTAAAAAACTTGCTGTGGATTCATCTTGTTCATTGGTTTAATTACTGCATTCAGTTTCAAGATTAAGATCATCAAATGTTTTTCACACGAAAAGTTAAAATTATCAAGTGAAAATGAATATTTAATTGCTCAGTTTCTATGTTTAACCTACCTCTACAGAATATAACTTTGTGGGCTTAATGAAATGCCTTCAGTCTCAGTGTTTATCATGTATCAGGATACTGCTGCATTCTCACGTATGGGCAGCTCGAAATTAAGACTGAAAGCAGAGGAATCATTTCCATCATAAGAGATGTCACGATACATAAGTTTCATGAATCAATACGTATCGCGATACCCATGTCACGATTCGATACTTATCACGATACCTATTTTCGCAGCATTATTACATAAATATAGTTACATTTTGAACATTAATATTTCATATTTTATAATTGTCCATGAAAAGATCAACATTTTTTATTCTCAAAGATTAAAAAGTTCTAATTTCGCATCTTTGTTCATGAAAAATAATCATTTATAACTCTCATAACATGATACACTTGCAATATGTAAACGATACATAAACATATTTAAACTGATACTTTCAAAACTAAATATCGATACATTGAATGATTTAACATTGTTTGGGTATATAGTGCTAGAAATTGAGGGTTCCTAGGGTCCATTTGTTTTGTGCCACAGTGTCTTATCTGCCATGTAGGACATACACTCATATGTTCACAGGGTTACTGGTCTCTTTATTTTAGAAATTATTTATGGACCCTTTAGTAAAGGCCCTTATAGTGTTAAAACTTAGGGCTCAAAAAGTATCAATGCATCGATGTTTTGTGGCATCCCTAATACTCAGCACCAGGTTGTAAACTTCTGTTAAAAAAGGAAGGTATGGGGTCACATCAGACAAAATAGTATGGCACAAAATATGACAGCCCTAATGATCCCCAAGTTTTAACACTGTAAGGGCCTTTACCAAAGGGTCCATAAATAGACCAGCAACCCTATGAATATATGAGTTTATGTTCTACATGGCAGATAAGACATTGTGGCACAAAATCAAATGGACCCTAGGAACCTCAAACATCAGGCAACTGATCCTCCAAGCAGAATCCTCATCTTGAACAGCATTTGTTTTTCTCTAAAGCCTATCCATATCATTCTTAACATCAGGCAACTGATCCTCCAAGCAGAATCCTCATCTTGAATAGCATCTTGTTTTCTCTCTAGATAGTTTTACGGTTGTGTTCTGCCTTAATTTCTAACACTATATATAAACAGTATGGAATATTTTGCCAGGCACATGTAAATCATTCTTAATATTATTAGATTAATGGACCCTCTGAGCAGAATTATATTCTAGAGTTGCACCATGTTCTTATAGTTTGTTTAACAATGTGTTCTCCCTAATATCACTATATACCCAAATCACTATATACCCAAACACCACTAAATCATTCTTAACATTAGATTAATAGACCCTCCAAGAGCAGATTCCTTATCAGGAACTGCATGAAGTTCTTCTTATCGTTTGTTTAACCATGTGTTCTGCCTTAATTTCTATAACTATAATCAAGGCACACGTAAATCATTCTTAATATTAGATTAATGGACCCTCCGAGCAGATTCCTTATCAAGAACTGCATCAAGTTCTTCTTATCGTTTGTTTAACCATGTGTTCTGCCTTAATTTCTATCACTATAATCAAGGCACACGTAAATCATTCTTAATATTAGATTAATGGACCCTCCGAACAGATTCCTTATCAAGAACTGCATTAAGTTCTTGTAGTTTGTTTAACAATGTGTTCTGCCTTAACTCTGCATACCCAGGCACCCCATTCTTAACATTAGTTAATGGACCCTCATGAAGTTAATTAAGTTAATGTACCCTTAGAGCCTCATCTTCATCCTGAATGCTGATGCATGTTTTCCCTCATTCTCACAGTGTGGTTTAAACTGGTGTTCTGCTCTTCGCCCCAACATTCATGCATCATGTGTAGAGGGTGAGTCACATTCTGGGGAAGCTTTGCCATGAGATACAAGGTGCCCTGCATAGGGCATGAGGATGTTAAGAATGCATCACACGCGTACATCCTGTTTCTGAGGGAATTATACTGATAGTGACACCAGAAAAATGGTGCCAATGTTGCTTTCCACATACTATCAAAGTGAGCTGAACGTTTTGTCTCATGAAGTCTTTAACATGTACAGTGAGTGAGTGAGTTTAGTTTTACGTCACTTTTAGCAATATTCCAGCAATATCACGGCAGGGGATTCCAGAAATGGGCTTCACACATTTTACCCATGTGGGGAATCGAACCCAAGTCTTTGGCATGACGAGCGAACACTTTAACCACTAGGCTACCCCACTGCCCTAACATGTACAGGCTTCAGTCATGTCATTTGAGGAAAGTGTGGTTTTGGGTGGTCTCGGTGGTTTGAGAGGACAGTGATATCTGTGTAATAGTTGTATAATATAACGATAATGGACATTTCTACTGTGCCATATCCACCACTGTGTCAATGCCCATACCACTAAAACAGAGTAGCATAATGTTTCATGTATTTGACAAAATTATTCCTGTGGTGCAAGACGTCTTAATTCATTGCAACATTGTCAAAGAAGACCACAACCAGCATGGTGAGTCAAAACTGGGCTGCACAGTGAACATGGTGAGTCCACATGGTGAGTGCACATGGGGTCGTGCATAAAAATACAGTAAACCAATACAATCTACATAAAGGTTCAGATTGATTAGGGAGATGTATTAAAAACTTCCAAAGAGAAAAAAAACATTCTTAATCCTAACGCTGAATCTAAACTGAAATCCTCCTCAAATTTCAGCAGCAAGCTTTGGGTTCTAAGGAGATGCTTTAAACATGTTAATGCCTTTCCAAAATAATGTTTTACCTGTGTTTTTTTTAATCTAAAAAATGAAACAAACTTCTCTAAAAACCACATCTTATTCCACACATCTTTGAAATTTTAATTTCTCAGGGTCCTATGTTCATTTTGAAGAATATAACATATACTTGTTTGTATCTGTGGTCTTTATAGGCTCAAAGAGAGACATCAGGTCAGTTCATCTGGCTCTAACATGATGAGAAAATCTTTGTTAAAAATGTTAATAGATAATGTGTATCTTAATCATCTTAAACATACCAACCAGTTGTACAACTCAAAAAAGGTTATTGAACATCTGATTCTTTCACGCCCTATTATGACAGATGAACTGGAGTATTATGTTAAAAAATGTTCTTAAACTTGTTTTCATTTTCACCCGAGTTTCAATGGTCATTTAACAAACTTATGGCACATGGGTGAGCACCCCTGAGTGAGTTGGTTTGCCTATGTTTTATGCCAAATGTTCTTAAATTTGCAACATTCCAGCTATGATGACTCATGGTAATATTGTCTGTAAATGTCAGTAGTTTGGACCAGACAATCCAGTGATCAGCAGCATGAGCATCGATTTGAGCATCGATTTGTGCAATTGGGAACTGATGACATGTGTCAACCAAGCCAGCGAGCCTGACCACCAGATCCCTTTAGTCGCCTCTTATGACAAGGAGCTACTGAAGATTCATTCTAACCCGGACCTTCACGGGTGATGCTATGAGTGAACTGTCAAGCCCATTGAAGCTATGAGTGAACAAGGGTAGTGGGGTAGCCTAGTTGTTAAGGCGTTCACCACATTTCTGGTGTCTACCAACGTGATATTGCTGGAACATTGCTAAAAGTGGTGTAAAACTAATCTCACTCACTCACTATGAATAAACATCAAATGTGTTCCTCCTCTGAAATTATAAACACAATCAATACTCATATATACATGTACTTACATGTGTTGTCTAGGTTGTACTGCAGCCATGATGACCTTCTACAGACCAGGCCGAACTGACCACTAGTACACTCTGATCTTCTATGGGACGTCCCGACTTTCACAGAGACCTAGAGTTAACACAGTCAGCAATTACTCAATGACCAAGAATAACTTGATAATATGTTTATAAATAATAAGTTGTTAAAGTGAGGCTTGTAGCAGCAAAACACACTAATAACATGGATCACATATGTAAAGGTCATTGTCTCAGAATAATATTACTCAGTACCCAGCATCAAGTAAGGTGTAGAGTCAAATCAGAGGTTGAGTCATTTAAAGGTCAGACTGTTTCCCTACAAACTATTACCATGATTAATACAACGTCTACCTGAACTATACAAGAAAGTAATTGCAGCTGAATCTATACATAGCATGTCCCAAGACTTAGTGTAGTTTGATATCCCAGTAAATAAATACTTAATAAGTTTAAATGGAATATTAAATCTTCCCATGATGTGTTACTAAAATTAGCAGTGAAATCAATTACCAAAGCTGCAGCTTTCTTGAATGAAATACTTTGACACTGACAGACTGATGATCTGACTGGTTTCGTATATATATTACTATGATGTGTTACTGTTTCGTGTAGTGATGAGTCTCTCACAGCTGTGACAGAAGTTGTATGAACAAAACCCAAACATGATACAGATTACAAAAAGCATGAATACATACATGAGAATTTAGGCATGGATAGTCCATTGACATGACAGAGACCAGTTCATGGCAACAAACTCATTACAATCAGCACCAGAACCTCATTCCGCAAAGTGACGTCTCTGACAAGTTCATTTAGTATCATTAAAATGAGGTTGGGATTAAACAAATGATAAGATAAAAAAAAGAGTTTAAATGAAATTTATGTTTGTCAGATCTCAATAAAAAGTTACCCAATTCCACAATTCTCTCTGACATTGTTGAATATCTTTTCAAAGTGATTTCTCAGACATGTTCATTAAGTATCATTAAAACATGGCAGGGATTAACCTTGGAAACAAAACAAACAATGTTTGTTTGTTTTGTTTGTTTGTTGTTTAACGCCGCACTCAGCTATATTCCAGCTATATGGCAGCGGTCTGTAAACAATTGAGTCTGGACCCGACAATCCAGTGATCAACATTATGAGCATCGAATCTACATAACTGGGATACGATGACATGTGTCAACCAAGTCAGCGAGCCTGACCACCCAATCCTGTTAGTCCCCTTTACAACAAACAATTTGGGTTGCTGGAGACTGATTCTCACAGATCATCACAGATCAAAACTAATGATAAGATAAATTAAGAGTTTTAGTTATGTTTAACAATCATTTGTCAATGAAATGTATGTTTGGCAGATCTCAATTAAACAAACAAACTTCAGTCTGTGATTTTTAAGTGACAAGTCCAAGTGACATGTCCAAAGCCCTAAAGTCGTGACACTTCTTCTGGTCTTGTTAGAGTGAGTGAGTAAATGTTGCTTTAAAACGCATCAGCAATTTATCAGCTTTTAGCAGCTAGCCCCAGTCTTCTTACATAAGCTGTTCCTAGTCTATAAACTAAGACAAGATTCTACTGAAAATAACACAAAATTTTCAGCCAAGTAAACAAAACAAAATGGCATGTTATTGATATGTTTGTTGATTAACAGCTCTGTCAGCGATATTACAGTTACATCACAGCAGTCAGTAATCAAGTTTGAGACAGACAAACTGGTGATTGATGCTGCCGATATAATAACAAATGATCTAAGCTGCACCAGCATGAAGATGACCATGACAACAGACAATCAAACAAATCACCTGACCACCATTCTGAATAGTCGCTGCTTACTCAAGCACGAGTTATAGGAATCACAGAACCCCACAGGGGTATAACTGGTCGTATACCACCGCCATAACAATAACAGTAAAGAAAATTCACATTGTCAAATCAATAGGTCAACAAGCCAGACTTGCTGTTATGGTTGTCAAAACAATACAATTTTACTTGAAACAACACCTAAGAGTCCATGTCCACTGCAGAGCAATATTCTGAAGTTAAGAGACAGACATGTTTCTAAATATCATAAACGCTTCAAATGCAATAAACATGAATAACGCATGAGTATATTTCTTCATGACGTACACATATTTCTACAAATAACCACATTAGGCTGACTAAAGATGATATGATATATCTATGACGTTCACACACCACGCAGGAGACCGAGGAAGAGCTCCTCAGGAACTGCCTCAGTGCCAAGTGAAGTGCATGATTGTCTGTAAACGAGCACCCAGTGGCATGGCCAGATATGCCCCTCCTCTGTGAGGCATTGTGGGATAGGTGTAACAGAAGCCATCTGGTGGGATGTAAACACATGACTTGCCTCTGATCAGGTACTTGGTACTGCACATAGACTGGCCGACAGTCTCCACCAGCATTAAATCAATTTAGTCGACTTGGGTGGAATGGGGTTTAATGTCTGCAAAATTATTGAATTAATAGTAATACAGCAGTGTGTGCATGTGTGAATGTGTGTATAATGTATACCATTATGTATGTGGTGATGGTGTTGGTGGTGTTGGTGGTGTTGGTGGTGGTGGATGTGGTGGATTCTGTTGTTGTTGTTGTTGGTAGAGGTGGTGGAGGTTGTGCTGGTTGTGAAGGTGTTGTTGCTGTTGTTGTTGGTGGTGGTGGAGGTGGAGGTGCTGGTGCTGCTGGTATTGGTGCTGGTGATATTGGTATTGGTGCTGGTGGTGTTGGTGGTGGTGGTACTGGTGCTGGTGGTGGTGGTACTGGTGCTGGTGAAGGTGGTGTTGGTGGTGGTGGTGGAGGTGGTGTTGGTGGTACTGGTGCTGGTGGTGGTGGTACTGGTGCTGGTGAAGGTGGTGTTGGTGGTGGTGGTGGTGGTGTTGGTGGTGGTGGTGGTGTTGGTGGTGGTGGTGGTGTTGGTGGGTGGAGCTGGTGGTGGAGGTGGTGGTGGTGGTGGAGGTGGTGCTGGTGCTGCTTGTGCTGGTGGTGTTGGTGGTGTATTGGTGATGGTGGTGGTGGGTGGTGGTTGTGGTGGTGGTGCTGGTGGTGGTGGTGGTGGTGTTGTTGCTGTGTGGTGGGAGGTGTTGGTGGTGGTGGTATTGGTGCTGGTGGTGGAGGTGTTGGTGGTGTTGGTGGTGGTGGTGGAGGTGTTGGTGTGGTGGTGGTGGTATTGGTGTTGGTGGTGGTGGGGTTTATGGTGGTATTGGTGGTGCTGGTGGTGTAGTGTTGGTGGTGGTGGTGGAGGTGTGGTGGGTGGTGGTGGTGGTGGGTGGTGTTGGTGGTGGTGGTGCTGGTGGTGGGAAGTGTTGAAATTGGTATTGTGGTGCTGGTAGTGGTGGTGGTGGTGCTGGTGGTGGTGGTGGTGGTGGTGTGCTGGTGGTGGTGGTGGTGGTGGTGTGTTGGTGGTGTTGGTGTGGTGGTGGTGGAGAGTGTTGGTGGTGTTAGTGGTGAAGTGATGGTGGTGCTGGTGGTGGATGGTGGTGGTGGTGAGTGCTGGTGGTGGAGTGTGTTGGTGGTAGTGGTGGGTGGTGGGTTGTGCTGGTGGTGGTGGTGGTGGTGGTGGTGGTGGTGGTGGTGGTGGAAATTAAGGGTGGTGCTGGTGTTGTGGTGGAGTGGTGTGGTGGTTGTTGAGTGTTGGTGGTGAGTAGTGGTGGTGCTGGTGCTGGTGGTGGAGGTGTTAGTGGTGTGTGGTTGAGGTGGTGGTTGTGTTGGAGGTGGTGGTGTGGTGTTGTTGGTGGTGTTGGTGTTGGTGGTGGAGGTGTTGGTGTTGGTGTTGCTGAGTGTTGGTTGGTGGTGGTGGAGGTGCTTGGTGGTGGTATTGGTGCTGGTGGTGCTGTGGTGGTGGTGTTGGTGGTGGTGGTGGTAGTGGTGCTGGTGGTGTGTGGTACTGGTGGTGGTGGTGAAGTGCAGTAGTTGGTGGTGGTGGTGGTGGTGTTGGTGTTGGTGGTGGGTGGTGTTGGTGGTGGTGGTGGTGCTGGTGGAGGTGTTGGTGTGGTGGTGGTGGTGGTGCTGGTGGTGGAGGTGGTGCTGGTGGAGGTGGTGCTGGTGGTGGTGTGGAGGTGTTAGTGGTGTTGAGTGGTGTTGATGGTGTTGTAGGTGCTGCTGGTGGTGGTTGTGGTAGTGTTGGTGGGTGGAGTTGGTGGTGGTGGTGTTGTGTTGGTGGAGGTGTTGGTGGTGGTGGTATTGGTGCTAGTGGTAGAGGTGTTGGTGGTGTGTGAGTGTGGTGAGTGGTGTTGAGTGTTGAAGTGCTGGTGGTGGTGGTGGTGGTAGTGGTATGGTGGTAGTGCTGGTGGTGGGAGGGTGTTGAGTAGTTGGTGTTGGTGGAGGTGGAGGTGGTGGTGGTGTTGGTGGTGGTGGTTAGGATGGTGGAAGTGTTGGTGGGTTGGTGGTGTTGGTGGTGTGTTGGTGGTGGTGGTGTTGGTAGTGTGCTGGTGGTGTTGGTGGTGTTAGTGGTGCTAATGGTGGAAGTGTTGAGTGTTGTTAAGTGTTGGTGTTAGTGGTGATACTGGTGCTAGTGGTGGAGGTGTTGTGTGGTGGTGGTGGAAATTGTGGAAGTGTTGGAGGTGTTGGTGGTGGTGGTGGTGTTGGTGGTGGTGGTGGATGCTGAGTGTGCTAGTGGTGGAAGTGTTGTGGTAGTGGTGGAGGTGGAGAGTGTTGGGAGGTTGTTGGAGTGTTATTGGAGGTGTTGGTGGTGTTGGTGGTGGTGGTGGTGAGGTGCTGGTGCTGGTTGTGCTGGTTGCTGGTTGTGCTGAGTAGTGTTAGTGGTTTAGTAGTGCTAGTAGTGGTGGTATTAGTGCTAGTGCTAGTGGTGGAAGTGTTAGTGAAGGTATTGTTGTTAGTGGTGGTGTTTGGTAGTGGTAGTGGTGGTGTTGTTGTTAGTGTTAGTATTGGTGGTGGAAGTGTTGGTGTTAAGTGTAGAGTGTTGGTAGTGGTAGTGGAGTGTTAGTTGAGTGCTAGTGGTGGAGATTATGTTGGTAAAGTATTGGTGTTAGTATTGGTGGTGATGCTGTGCTGGTGGTGGTGAGTGTTGTATTGTGTAGTTGTTGTTGTGAAATTAGTGTTAGTGTTAGTGTTAGT